CTTTTGCATCTCCCCCTGCCAACTGAATGCTGCCATGCTGGGTGGAGACCACGCAGAATACCCGGACCCAGTGCTGGCACTGTGTATTACTTCAGCATTTATCTGTCATTTGCTCGACACTTCCAGCTGCTGCCTTCCCTTCTCAGGTTCTGCATTTCATGCAGCTTATCTGTCTCCACCCCTCCCAGCCTACACTGATTTGCGATGAGAAAATAAACCACTTTGAGTTGCTTCCATTAGTGGGTCTGTGTGTCTCTTGCTTTTTTGTTTTTTACTGCCTCATAAACATGCACTGTGTGCAAGCCATTCAAGTCACAGTTGTATTTAGCGTATAGGTTATAACTTCATAGAGCATCACATTTACAGTGTCCATTTACAGGACAAGGCAGGAAAACAATACACATGCCATTGTTAGGTGTGGCTGGCCTGCTGCAATCTATTGGATACATGGGTGTCGTTAAACTAGCCCCACACTTTCCCCGCATGCCAGGCCGATCCCCTTCCACCGCCTGACTGGCTGCTCTGCCTCCTGCCCTGTGGTCCCTCCCAAACTGCTGCTCTGCTTTCTGCTCCCTGCCATGTCTGCTACTGTGCTGCCGGTGCCCTCCCTGATTTGCCATATGCGGCACACAGAGGCTGCCTCTGCCACTTGTGGCTTGTGCGCCACAGGTTGGCCCCCGCCCCTGTTAGATCTTTCAAAGCACATAGGTGAGGCAGAGAACCTGTGCTTGCAACATCGGGTGGGAGTTTCTGCCTTTAAAAAGTGCAGCGGCTAGCCCCGAGTCAGGTGTATTGAATGCAATCGTCTTTGCTCAGCCACACCAGGCAACACTTCATGTTTCATGTGCATTTCCCACATTGGCTTGTCTGGCATGCTTTTTGCTGCACTGTGTCTGGGTCTTGCGCTGGGCTGTGGGTCTGTGCTGTTCATTACTGCACAAGGTTCCTTGGGAACAGCCTGCAGCAGCAGGGCTGAGACAAGCTGTGCCAAGTCTGTACAGGTAAAGCTACCGTGTGACTGACTAATAGCAGAAGAGCTCGTCCCGCCACCCCAACCTGGGAGCTGGCTCGCTTGCCTCCTGGTCTATGAAATCAGCATCTGGGGCCTCTGCCCAATGTACTGACTCAGCATGGAGGGGCCAGGTGGCCTGCAGCTATTGCTCTTCCGGCTCTCTCAGGGTCTTGCAAGGGGAAGGGCACCTGACAAATGCTATTACCTGGCCAGTAAAGGAGTCAGCTTGCTTCCTGCCTGTTTGAGGAACAAAATGGTGTTGGGCTGCTATATTGATCCAGAAAATCCATAGGCATGGGCTCCTCTCACTCTGAAGCGGAGCCCTCCAGACAGTGCTCTCCTGGTCCAATGAATCAGGGTATTGGAGAGGCCTAATTACCACCTCTGCTCTTTGGCAATGCAGTCACTGCCCCTCCCAGCTTCCCTGGGTCCGGTTTAGAATAGCTACATCTCTTATCATGTCTGAAACTCTGACTCATTTCTCTTCCCCGCCATTATTCCCACATGTTGTGACTCTGACCTGGGTCACGTGCTGGCGAGGGAAGCAGCGGGGGCCCTGCTGTTGAAGGGCAGTGCAAGGCTTGTGCAGCGCCTGACATAGCCATAAAAGGCAGCTCTCCTTTGCTGTATGCATCTGCCTGGGTCACCTCCCTCACAGCCAGTGCTGACTTGAGCACTGTCCTGATGTCTCTCCCCTTAAGTGGCTTAGTAGGAGCCTGGGGAGAATGGCTGGAGGGGTGCAGCAGTGGCTTGGTGGTATTGCATTTTTTTGCCTGCTGTGGTAAAACCCTGGAGATCTGATAAGTCCCTTGGGACTGAGGGTAGGCAGGGCAGTAGGAGAAATACCAGAGGCCAGAGCCTGCTCCGAACCCAGTGCAAGGCTGTTTTCTCTTTCCTGGAATGCATCAGCTGCCTGCAGACCCAGGGGCTCCCATGGTCCCCAGGAAGCAGGGTGGGGTTTGAAAACCTTTGTCTGCAAGGACTGGCCCATTATCTTCACACTAATCCCCTGCATTAATAATCCTGATGCCCAGGATGAGCGAGCCCCCCTGTTGTGGGCCAAGCATACGGTACATTAGTGTTGCTGCATGGATGTGGGGAAGTGAGGCGCAGTGTCCCTCCCTTACCGTTCCTCCTTCCTTGAGCCCACAGCAGGCAGAACTGTGCTACTTTCTGTGCTCCCATTACACAGCCTCTCTATCCTAGGTCTCCTCTGGGTTGGGTTTATGGGGGGAGCATTTGCAAATGGCTGGCAGCAGTGTACTGCTCTAAGCTCAATGGTTGATGTGAGGGTGTCAACTGCTTGCGTTGGAGACCTCCGATTTTGATAGCAACAGGTTTTCTGAAATCTAGCAAGCTCCTTGCTGTACTTTCAACTCTTTTGCCTAAGTTCATTGAATCATGGGGCCTTTTGCTAGCTGTCTTGTGCCACCTGCTATTGCTGGACTGATGCAATACAACACTGGCAAGCCGCACCTGGCCAAGGCAGGGCTTCTACAAAGGCTCTTCTTCAGAGGCCAGCTTCTTTCCTGGAGCTAACAGTGTTTGGGAGGGAGGTGGCCCAGGCTTTGTCTAGCTCATTATATCCAATGCTGGAAGTAAGGATGCTCTGGTTCTGCTAGCCATTCACCTCCTGATCTTTAGCTCATGGCTCTAGGTAGAAGCCCAAGCCACAGTGGAAGCTTTTCCTGTTCAAAGAAGCTTTTGCAAAGCCTTATTGAAGTGTTTGGTGTCAGCAGCAGGGGTGGGAGGTGAGGGATATTAGTATCCAGGTGTGGTTGTGGTAGGGCAGTAGGGATTTAAGAGAAACCTGCCTCCACTGTCAGAAGCCCCTGGCCAAATGATGACAGCCCTGGATTGCAAGAATGCTCCCTGAAAACAAGGCTGCCTGGTCCTATAAATCTGATCTGTTTTTTGGGATTGGATGGTATTTCCACCATAACCTGAGAGGCATTCAAGGCAGCTGTTGCGATGCCCGCTGTCCATGGCAATATCCCTGCCACGGCTCTGGGATAAGCCAGATGTCACTGCCTCTTGGTGCTCTACCCATGTGCAGCCTGGCAGAGCAGAAATGAATGTTGCCTGGAAGGTGAAGCTTGACATATAAATGCACAAGGGAAAGGAGGGCATGTTCTCCATGAGATGGTAGCCTTGGGCAGTCTCTGCATGTACTGTTCTTGGCTGCTTGGTAATGAGGCTTTTGCTGGCCTGCGGCTTCTGTCTGGCTTTGATTTAATGGGACTGCATTGAAGATAAGGGGGAATTTCATTTTAGTCCAAGCTGAGCCCCTGCCTTTGCATCTCAGGAAGAGCCAAGCAAGGACCCACCAGCTTGCCTTGCTGGATCAAGCAGCTGTCCATTTCTAAACTACGAGATTCAGACCCATGAGGGAGAGGGGGAGAACTCTGTAGCCCATTCCCCATCCTCTGAGCTCTTGTGGCAGGCACCTGCTCACATTGCTACATGGAGTACCCCCATCCTCACAGATTTTTCCTGGGTGCCTGTGACCAGATGTGTGGTATGCAACTGCTAGGGGAGTCCCTCTGACTAGGATTCCTCTCCCATGGGAACCGTTGCCGCCTTGTCCGTGGGCACGTGGAGGAACCTGTCCAGCAGCCTCCTTGGAGTGTGGGAGGGGGCAGCTTTTGCAAAGGTTCTGGCACCACCCTGAAGTTTTGGGGGTTTTTTTCCCCTGGCATTCCAACTCAGGGAGTGTCAGTCCTCCTTGCTGCTCCGCTTTGCCATTAACCCTCTTTTGCACCGTTTTGTAGTGTGATGCAGGGGCTGGGCATCAGAACCACAGCCTGCCAGTTCGTGATGCATGTGCAGGACCCCCACGCTGGGGTGTGTCCTGGGCAGGGAGGCTGAGAATGAAAGTATCCCTGAACGCTTCCTGTCTCCCAGTCCTGAACCTCTGGCATTCTGAGAACCCGATGCAGCAATGGGGTCCATTCCCTTTTCCCAGCTGGGTTTGTTATGTTTCTTCCCTACCTCTTAATCTGGGAGCATGGTATCATGACTGGAATCTGGCACACCCTTGTGAGCCCCTCCTTTAATGGGTGTGGGGCCGTGGCTGGTGTCTCCTCCCCTAGCCGTGCAGCAGGCTGGCTGTGCCACCCTCCCAGCTCCGGAAGGAGCCAGGTTCTTCTGAATGGCAGCGGAGAGCGACTGTTCCTGCTCTTCTCCAGTTGCTGGGGGTGCAGCTGATTTTGCTGTGAAGTGCTGAGACCTTACTTAGTGCGTCCTAGGTAAGTGCCTGCCCCTGCGGTAGCACTGCCTGCTCTCTGTGTGCCTGCTCTGGCAGGCGTACATTGCTGTTTAAAGAGCAAGGCTCTACCCTAGGTTGGGCACTGGGCAGCTGGGCATTTGTATGAGGAAGTGCAAGGCTGGATCTCTCTTGCTTTTAAGACATTTGGAGGATATCCTAGGAGACACTGTATGAGGTTCTGTTTTATGCTAAGAACTGAAACCCTTGCAGCTGGTTTCAGTGTTCATCTCTCTCTGGAAACTGGTCTTTGAAAAAGCTCCTCTGTGCTACCCACTATATCTGGGGCCCTGCCCTACTCTGTCCTTCTGCCCAGGAGCATCCTACGTGGCCTTCAGTGAGCAAGAGTTTCTCTTGCAGCAAGTCCTGGCTGCTGTGAGCGGTAGTTCCAGTTTCAGACTCCTTTCGTGTCTCAACACGTGTGGTGAAGTGCTGAGCAGTGGGGTTCGTTAGTTTGCCTCAACTTTTTGTCTTCTTAATAAGGCTGTGCAGCAGGACTCCTTTCTGGGTGAGTGGGAGGGCTGCGGGTAACGTGACGCTAAGCTATGTGTGGTGCATTCACCTGGGTTTGGAGCAGTCAGGGTGGGTGTGGAGGGAGGAGGCAGAGGCCCTCTTCATGGGGATCCTAGTCAAAAAGGGAGGGTTGGTTCCAGCTTGGTTTTTGGCTGCATTTTGCCAGTTTGCTGGGCAGAGGATGTGACCTTCCTTTCCTCCGTTCTGCAGAACAGCCATGGAGGTGATGAACATGATGGAGCAGCCTATCAAGGTGACAGAGTGGCAGCAGACATACACCTATGACTCGGGCATCCACTCGGGGGTGAACACCCAGGTACCATCTGTCAGCAGCAAGTGCATTGTGGATGACGATGACCTCTATGGCAAACAGTACACCATCAAGAAGACCACCACCACCTACAGCCAGGGAGGGGGCCAGGGACAAGGTAGGGGGACACAAGTGATGGGTGAACCAGATGTGCATGTGTGTACATGCAAATTGAGCTATTTTGTCCCTGCCCTCCTTCCACCTCCTCCACCAAATCTCTTGTGGCCTATACTTAAGTCTGCTCATTTCCTTTTTCCATGAATTCCTCCTTCACCGGTGCCTTGGGAGTTCATATGGCTTAAAATATCTCCCCAGCCTTGCTGAATGGTTTGGCAGCAGGTCACGGCCTGGGAAGGATCTTGCACAGAGGCACAGCCAGCTCTGACACAGAGTTTGATTTCCCTGTTTGTCTCCAAGGTGCTCTAATCTGTACACTCAAGCTAGGAACTGGCTGATCCCAGCCTGGTGATCAGCCATCTGTGCCACTCAATTACCTGGCTGCTCCAGGGGTGGGAAGTGTGTTCGTAAAACAGTTTGCATTGCAAAGTGGGTGCCTGCACAGATGAAGCAGCTGGCAGTGGTGCTACTTCAGTTTTCTGGAAAGGGGAGAGGGAGGAGAAACACACCCAGGATAACCTGCTCCCTGATTGCCTCCATACAGCTAGCATTGCTCCCCGTCAGCAGAGTTTGGTGTGCCTGAATGTTGTCTGGCAGCAACAATGCCCCACCTATGCTGGGGTGAGGCAGGGTGGGGCAGCATCTGTAACGCTGGGATTCTTGCTCTGTTTTTCCTTTACAAGGGAGTGAGTCACTGTAATTCTTGCCTGCCAAAGCAGGACCCAGCTCAACTTGTGGTCTCTTCTGTATTGACTCCTTAGGGAAAGGGCATTTAAACTTTCAGGAGTACTAATCCACTCCCTTTTCTAATGTCTGGGCAGAGGGAGGGTAGGGGAGCTTGCAGAGCCCAGCTCCAAGCCCAACCTTGGTACTCCAGCATCATTCTTTGGGTTTGCAATGGGAGCTGTGGATGTTTTTATTGTTTGCTAAGAGCAGGACGCAGCCAAGTTATTGAAAAGAGCATCTCCCCTGGGCTAAGCTGCATTTGCCCCAGTAATATCAAGGTGAAAGGCTGTCATATCCCTTTCCTGGTCCCCAAAGCCAGCTGGTCCCAACTCAGATACCCTTAATTTTTTAATTAACAGGCCTTGTGTGACAATGGCCTAATCATGCTGCCTAATTAAGTGTTCTCTTATCTCTGCACTGCCGTATCTGTTTATGCTTTGAAGCACCAGCTCCTTGTGGAGCGTGCTGGGACTGCTGACATTTCTGGTGTCATTTCGTTAAGCTCTTGCTCAGCTAATTGAAATCTGGATGCCTGGCTGGGAACTCTGTGCAGAGTCTCAAGGCTAATGATCCCTCCCCATCTTGTTCTTTTCCTCTGCAGCTGACATGGAGGCTCAGCTGGCCATGACACGGGCCCAGCGTGTCCGGGCTGCCATGTACCCGGAGACTGTGGAGGACCGCTCCTTGCTCATAACCACACAAATGGAGGGCCAGCAGACCAATGTGCAGAGGCTGGCTGAGCCCTCACAGATGCTGAAATCGGCCATTGTGCACCTGATCAACTACCAGGATGATGCAGAACTGGCCACCCGTGCTATCCCGGAGCTCACCAAGCTGCTGAACGATGAAGATCCGGTAAGGAAGTGAGCACTTCCCAGTGCAGACTTTTTCATTGGCAGAAGGCCTTGAGGGTGGGCTCTGGGGCTAGGTGCTAGGTGAGGTGGTTGGTCGCCATCTTTAGAGTGCTTTATCCTTGGTTTCACCTGCCTCTTGCCCAGTGTCTCCACCTTGCCAGTGCTCCTGGTTCTGACTCTGTGCAGTCCCTCTCCTTCCCCACCCCTCTGTTGTGCCAGCCTCCCTCAGCCCTCAGTATGGCACTTGCTGCTGTTGCTGATCATGATGTAGTCGGCTTGTTCCCAGAACAATAAGATGGTTAAAAATAGCAGCTCTTGGATGTGTGTGCTGTGCAGGCTCTCACCTCAGGATGGCCCAGCCTGTCAGCTGTGGGAGCAATACGGTTAAATAAATGGTGCCCATGTGCTGGGCCCTCTATTTGAGAGGTAGGGACTTGCCTTCTGGTCTCATTAGTGGAAGGTGTGTCCTATGCCTCGGTAGCAAGTGCCTTTGCCTGGGTGTGTGGCTCAGGGTATCGGCCAGGCTTTTTCTTCTATTGGCAGCTTCTCTCACCCCTAGGTTGTCGTCAGCAAAGCAGCCATGATAGTGAATCAGCTCTCCAAGAAAGAGGCCTCGCGCCGGGCCCTGATGCAGTCCCCGCAGATCGTGGCTGCTGTGGTGCGCACCATGCAGAACACGAGTGACTTGGACACTGCCCGCTGCACCACCAGCATCCTGCACAACCTCTCTCACCACCGTGAGGGGTTGCTCTCCATCTTCAAATCTGGAGGCATCCCAGCTCTCGTGAGGATGCTCAGGTATCTGGGTGCCTGATGTGTGGGGGTTGGCTGGCATTCGGCCTCCAAGCTACCCCTTTATGTTGACTGCCAAAGTCATGCTGAGTTTGGCAGGACAACCTCTGTTGCCAGGAAGTGAGCAGAGGGGAGGTGGTGCACTGCGTGGGTACAGCACTTCGTCTGAGTCCCTCTGGCAACTGCTGTGGGGTCTGTTCAGTATGTTCCAGGCTTAGCTGAAATCTGTTCCTTGCCAAAGAGGAATGACTGCATCAGCATCTGCCACTCCTTGGATCCTTCCCAAGGAAGCTGGCTATGGAGCCTCCTAGGGTTTGTCCAGAGTGGTGCTTGGCCAAGCTCTGGATCTCTCTGATCCACAGCATGAGGACAGTCACCATCATTACTTCAAACCTGTGTTAAGCAGGTTTAAGCTATTCCCAACCCCAGCACATCCCAGGGCATTCAAACTGTGCCAGGCCCAGAGCTTGTAACCACTGCCAGAGGTCTCGCTCAGCTGCCACAAAATGGAGTAGACTTCCGCAGCCCTCTTCCTTCCTCATACCTTCATTAATAGAGTGAATGACTTGCTTTTCACTGCAGGGTACAGTTCCCTGGTAGGTAACAGCACTGGGGGAAGGAATAGGCCAGAGTTTAGGGCCCTAGCTTATGTTCAAGAGCCCTGGGTTTTAGTCATTGATCTGCCACAGACCTGTGTGGTGCTAGGCAAGTCACTTGGTCTGTCAGTCCTGGTCCCTGGCTCCCTGCCTTCCTCCTCACAATTCCTGGTAACTAGTATTTCCCTCCTTTAGAAAAGTGTTTTAATTGATTGGATTTGGGATGATGGGTGGCATAACCATGATAAACAGATGGTGGTATCATCTGTCACAACTAAGTCCCCTCATGCAACACTCAATACTAGGAACATTAGACTGGAAAGGTCTGCATGACTCATCACAGCCCATGTCCTGATCTTGAATACGTCATTTTGCATCATCCTTCTCATGCACTTACCATCCTCTCTCTTAAATCCACCCCGACTGAATTTATTTGGGGCCAGTGCCTATCTGTTGTTCTTGCGGCAATGTTGGCCTTAAGTCTAAACTGCTCTCTTCCTTGGTCTTTATATGCCATTACCTGCAGTTCATATGGACTGTACTTACTGTAATCAGTAGGAAAGTCTCCACTTCTGTTCCCCTTTGGTCCCCCCTGTCTCTGACTCCACCTCCCTGTGCTCTCTTGTCCATAGCTCTCCAGTTGAGTCAGTTTTGTTCTATGCCATCACCACCCTGCACAACCTGCTGCTGTACCAAGAGGGTGCCAAGATGGCTGTGCGTCTGGCTGATGGACTCCAGAAGATGGTTCCTCTGCTGAACAAGAACAACCCTAAATTCCTTGCTATCACCACTGACTGCCTTCAGCTCCTAGCCTATGGGAACCAAGAGAGCAAGGTGAGGTGGCTGGTTGCCTTCCTTCAGCTTACTAGTAGTACTTACCTTGTGGTAGCTGGGATCCAGGCATGGGGTGAGGAAACCACTCTGGGTGAAGATTGCTGTCACTAGACAATGGGCATTTTTGGTCAGTTTGCCCATGGGCTAGAAGCTGGGCATGCCCCAAGCTAAGAACAAGCAGTGTACATTTCATACACTGCTTGGCTGTGCTGCACTTTCCCTTGCTCTTGCAGGGCTCAGTAACTTAAAAATCGTACCTGACCATCTGCAATGTTGTTGTTGTAGCATTTGGCTCAAACAGGCAAGTTGTTGGTTGCTCATAACAAGTGAAAATGCCCAGTCCACCCCCTTCCAAATGCAAAGTCCAGCTTTTCTGCTGGATTTCTCTGCACTGCCATTTCAGGCTGGACAGATATTTTTATTTTCAAAGCAAGACCATCTTCTCCTTCCTCCTACACCATAATTATATAAACACACTCCCAGCATAGCCGTCATGTTTCTGTGCTATTTGGGGCAGTAGAATTTCAGCTCCAGCAGCTCCTTTCTCCGCTGCCCATGCAGAGAAAAGTGTTTGTTACAAAAATCAGAACTGTTGCACTTAAAACTCATAAGCAAGGCTGCAGGATGCTACTGATGCCCCCTTCTCCCTGGTCTAACAAGACTGTTGTAGGCTCTTAGAGTGAAGGGTAGTATGGGTAGGAAGACTTGCTAAGGTCATTGGTCCATGCTCTGTGGTTGTAGCTAATCCCAGATGCTTTAGAGTCTGATTTTAGGTGCATGTAGGGGACCTGCATTTGGATTTTATGCCTCACTTACACTGGAGGAGAGGGGGGGGGAAAGGGTTTTGAACTGTCCAGGACTTCTGCAGTGGGACCAAGTGGGTCTCCTACTCTCAGAGGACATGGCGTTCCTCATGGAAGGATCTGAATAACTTGAGTCAGGAAAGCAGAACAGATGCCTCAGGGGTTGGAGCAGGTTGTATGGGGTTGGTGCTTGGTAATGAGGCCCTAGTGATGCTGTATATTTGCTGCTGTGGCAGATGCCTAACACTGCTCTTCATCTTGCAGCTGATTATTTTGGCCAATGGGGGCCCCCAAGCCTTGGTGCAGATCATGCGCAGCTACACCTATGAGAAGCTGCTCTGGACCACGAGCCGGGTGCTCAAGGTGCTGTCGGTGTGTCCCAGCAACAAGCCTGCCATTGTTGAGGCTGGTGAGTGAGGCTCCTGCACTGGAGGAGGTGGTTTGTGAGGTAGAGGTGTCTGGTTCTGACTGGGAAGCTGAAGCTAAATGAGGCATGGTCCTTTCCAGGCCCTATTGGGTGTCTCTTCTCCAAGGCAGAGGGCACAATGCCAAGTGAGGAGTTGAGCCCCATTGGGTTTGACTGGGGAATAGGGAAGAAGCTGGTGTTGGCTAAGGCTTAATCAAGAAGCCTCTGAATTCTTCTGTAATGGAAATCAGCTGGTGCTGTGTCCTCCAAGGGCTGATAACAAATGCATGCATCGTTGGTGAGATGGGAAATAGATTTAATTTTCTATTTGACACTTCACTTTGCTTCCAGCTGTGCTGTCTGTTACTCATAATGGGCCCTTCATCTGAGACACTGGAAGATGACAGTCTTAATTGTATCATCTCAACACTTACTCTCGTTAAGGATACTGGCTCTGCAATCCTCTTCCATTGCGATGAACACCTCGTGTCTCCCTAAAGAGTGCCAAGACGAGCACTTGCCCTTTGTCCTATCTGTCCTCCATCAGTGGTATCTCCAGCTCTGTCTGACCTTCTCTCTTGGTCAAACAGTTCTGATGGGGAGGGGAGAGCTCTAAGGTTTTCACTAATGACATCCTTTTTCAATCACCATGACTGACTGGCCTGAAGCCCACACTTCCATCCGCTCCAGTATCATGTATTATTTTTGGTGTTTCCTTGGCCACATTGTATGGATGTCCACTCCTGTGGTCTCCTGTCCTAACTTGAAGTCAGAGCTTTGAGGGTGGGGGGTGGTGCTGAGACCATTCCCAGAGGCCAGAGGGAATGGCTTCCCTGGGCACACACCAATGCCTCTCTGTGGTGGGCCTGGTGTAGGTCTGTACTTGACTTGTTGGGGAACTCGCTTCTGGCAGCAGACAATCCAGGTGGAGAATTGGCTAATTCATGCCCTGCAGGTGCCACTCCAACCTTGCCCGGAGTTCAGGCACTTGTACTTCTTGGCTTCTTGGCCAAACCTCCTCTTGTGCCCAGCTGCAGGTCTTTTATTTGGGTGACCTGGACAGATGCTAATTTCTGGCACAGGGTGAAGGGGCAGAATGTGTGTGCTCAGGTCCCTGTTGGCCTGCTATGAAGGTTGTCCCTCTTCATCATA